AACAGTGAACATACAATGGGAAGCTTTCCCTAGAAGTTAGAGGCAAAATGTTGTGCAAGGACTAACTACATGTTAGGAACTCTGGTTAGTCTAGGGGAGACCAGGGTGAAGCTCTCCCAAAGGAAGCCACTTTGAGCTGAGATGTGGAGGATGAAGAGATCGGGCAGATAGGCAGGACATTTCACAGAGAGGAAATGGCAAGTGCTCTTAGGAGTCAGTGAATAGAAAGCAACTTGGGATGGGGGAAACCCAGGGTTCAGGTCAGGAAGGATGAGGGAGGAGGCTGGAAACACAAGTTGTTTTCATGGGGAAGCGATGACAACAGAGTGCAAGATGATACATACAGACTCCTCACAACTACATGAAGACATGGCAACATACGCTAACAAGGATCACAAGATATTTTGGGGAATTGTTAACTGTCTACGTTAATTATACTAATTAAGTATAACTGGTGTTATTGTATCAACACCAGGTCAATGTCATGTTCATCACATTTCCGTATAGAAAGATAGCAAGTGGCTTATTAAAATCTCCTCCTTGTAGAAGTGAACTGTAGACAATCCTACACATTTGTGACTTATGAATATGAAAGAAAGAAAAGTAAATTTTAATAGCATGCCCAGGAATAATACCTCCTCTAACATCTCATGCTTGTTAAGCCTGAGTGATTAAGCCAAAATAATTGAGACACATTTAGTTACTCGATGTTTAATGTTTCTTTTGCAATCCAGTTTCTTATTTTAAAATGTTGTTCAGAAAAAAGAAGTCACTGAATAGTAAAGGATGTGGAAAGCCAAGTAACGCAGAAGGAATTTAGAAAATTATTTGTGCCAGAGACGACAGAATATATATCATCTGTATCTGTTGTTTTAAATGCCATTTAAAAGGAAGTGGTGCAGATATTTAAAGCTTCTAAAGTTGTTTATTGCCAAGACAGGTTCTCATAAGAGGTATCTTCTTATCATGTGTAAAATGCTGGAGCTGGTCTTACACAACGGCTGTGAAGAATTTGCCTTCCAACTGAGTTCATCTTGATTGCCAAGCACAGGTTAGAATAAATAGTACCTAGGGCAGCATGAATACCTTTCCATTGGCATTAAATGCTTTAGCTTAAATGACCACTGGGCTTAGCAAAGAACTGAATACAGACAGTATTACCTAGCTTTAAACACATCTTTCATTGCTTAATTTTTATCTTGTAGGTAAAAAAATTTCTAGGAAATGAATTTTCAGTAAAATTAAGCTAGCTCTCTTGGCCACCTCCCCAGTCTTTCTATCCACATTACGTAAACGTGCACAAGAGTGTTGCCAAGAAAAGGGGGAAAAAAGAAATGGTCAGAGGAAATTACGAATTACAAAAGCTGAAAAGCATTGTTACCCTCTTTTAGAAATGGCTGTTTCCTATTAAATTTCATTATTTCCCACAGCAGCTTGCAAAGTAAAGGTGTTGTTTACTAAATGGGAGTGGCTTCTAAATAAAACCACAGCGTTTATTTAATCCCAGCTGGGAATGTTGGGAAAGAATTGCTGAGGCTGGTGGGGTCAGATCTTTGCCAGGACAAAGAAGCCATCTCTCAGCGACTCATGTAAGACACATATCGAATCCAATCCTTCTTGCATGTGAGACACTTTCAGTGATTGATCTGACAAGGCACCCCCATATTTGGCATGTTTCTTTCAGAGAGGACAAAGGTCAGGACTTCCAGGTGACCAACTTCCTTCATCAGCAACATTAGCTGACATGCTCCAAGAGTCTCCTTCCCAAGGTGCAGAAGATTTACATGAGGGGAAACACACTAGGATAAGGTTTGAATATGCCCCCATCTGGTGGGTTCCATGCAAGGATTTGTCTCATTGAGGATGAAACTCCACCATCTTGCAAGTCTGTTTCAAATGTACCTCTTCGAGAAGCCTACCCTACCACATTATTTTGAATTGTGACTCATCTTCCCACTACTAACCTCTTAACCCTGCTTGATTTTTATTTTTTAATGTATAAATCTTAAGTGTACAGGTCAATGAACTTACATATGTGTACACTCATAACCACCACCCATAACAAAATATAGAACTTTGGCCAGGCGCAATGACTCACGCCTGCAATCCTAGCACTTTGGGAGGCCAAGGTGAGAGGATTGTTTGAGCTCAGGGATTCGAGACCAGACTGAGCAATAGCAAGACCCCATCTCTGCTAAAATTAGAAAAATGAGCCGAACGTCATGGTGAGCGCCTGTAGTCCCAGCTATTCGGGAGGCTGTGGCGGGAGGATCTCTTGAGTCCCAGAGTGTGAGGTTGCAGTGAACTACGATGACACCACCACTGTGCTGCACCCTGGGTGACAGAGTGACACCCTGATTCCAAGAAAAAAAAAGACCCCCTCCTCACTCCCCCCCTTAAAAAATATAGAACTTTTATAACAGCCCGGAAGCTACCTCCTTGCCAGTCAGCAGTCAGCCCTGTTCTATTTTTTCAAAGCATTTGTCACCTTTTAAGAAGCAATTTGACTGTTCTAGTTGCTTGGATACATCAGCAAACAGGTGCCAGATACATAGTAGGCACTCAAATATTTGTCCAATGAATGAATCTTTGAAATAATGCCTGTCATGCCCCACGTTCACCCCTCCCTCCAGTGTGGCCTGTAAGAGCAGAGGGAGACCTAGCTTGAAATCTTTGGTGTCTACACAGCGGTGTTAAATGCAGCCATTGGAGTAGTGCTGATCAGATCTAGGTACAGGTGTGGATTGGATGTGTCCTAGTGTAATCTCTTCTATGCAACAGATTCAGCACTGGATAGTGGATCTGTAAGAACGGGATCCCTCCTTTAATCCAGAGTCCTCTCTTGACTCCTAGATTTGCGGGCATTTGTCCCCTACGGGTGGAGCCCTCCTGAGGGGCTTTCCTCCTGAGGACTGCGCTGTTCCTAGCATGCCATCACCCAGTCTTGAGAACGGGGCTCATCTTCCACACTCCACTCTGACCGTCAGCAGCAGGTTCTGCCACCCCGTGCCCCGCCGTTTCTCCCCCAGGCATCCGTGAATCTCTCCTTCTCCTGTCCACCTCCACTCGTGACCCCTTCCGGCCCACTTTATGTTGCTGTACTAGCCTCTCAAGTGACACTCCCATCTTCAGGCTTACGTTTCTCTAGACTGTCCCCATTGTTTTCCCTAAAACACAACCTTGATCGTGTCACTGCTGTGATCGTAAACTTTCAATGGCTCACAGGTGCTACCAAAAAGAAGTTGAAACTTCTTAGCCTGGCATTCAGGGCTTCTGGGTCCCCATCCCCTCCTCCCCAGCCCCACGCATTCCCACTGCACCGCCAACAGACAGGCCTACTGCAGTGTCACTAAGCAGGCCCCATGTTCTCTTGCCTCTCTGCCTTTGCTCTGCTGCTAGGTCCAGAAAATAAGTGCTAGAAGGAACCCTTTGAGATCATCTGGTCCAATCTCATTTTACAGATAACTGAGGCCCAGAGAGGTTAAATGACTGCCCAGCACCGCCTAGTTCGAGATCAGGCGTGACTAATGAAAAGGAATCCTGGGGCGCCCTTGGGTCTAACAATATGAGACAGGGCCGGGCGCGGTGGCTCACGCCTGTAATCCTAGCACTCTGGGAGGCCGAGGCGGGCGGATTGTTTGAGCTCAGGAGTTCAAGACCAGCCTGAGCAAGAGCGAGACCCCGTCTCTACCAAAAATAGAAAGAAATTAATTGGACAACTAAAAATATGTAGAAAAAAAAAATTAGCCGGGCATGGTGGCACATGCCTGTAGTCCCAGCTACTTGGGAGGCTGAGGCAGTAGGATTGCTTGAGCCCAGGAGTTTGAGGTTGCAGTGAGCTAGGCTGAGGCCATGGCAATCTAGCCCAGACAACAGAGCGAGACTCTGTCTCAAAAAAACAAAAAACAAAAAACAAAAAAACAATATGAGACAGGATCCAGTCAGTAGGTCACCAGGTGAATGCTGAATACTGCATACCGTCTCCACACAACTCTGATCCCTAAAACTGCAGATCTTTGAGTCCCGCCTCAAGCATGGCCTCCTCCAGGAAGCCCCCCTTGACACCCCAATCCGAGAGTCTCTCAGGGCAATGATGTGAGCCTTGTAGGTGGCTAGGTATTTGTCTAGGATATCTCCCCTACTGCATTGTACGCAAACTCTTTGATTCTTCTTTGACATCCCTCCATTCTTACCCAACTCCGTCCATAGTAGGTGAGCAGTAAAATCTACCGAATGGAGAGTCAGAGGGTGGGAGGAGTATAACACGTGCATATACTGCCAGGGAGGCGCGAGTCACAGGACCAAACACCAGCCAGCAAAGATGCAAAATTTCCAGAAAAGTCCAAAATTTCCAACAACACTGCGTGGTTCACGTGCTGCCACTTAACGCTTTTCCACCGCAAACGCAAAAAACGTGGGAGAGATTGGTCTCAGCAAAAAACCTGCTTGCTGCAATTACAGGATAAGTTTCTGGAAGTCCTTAGGTGCTGTCTCTTCCTTTGCCCTCTGCGAGGCGAACCGTGATGCGCACTCGGTGACCGGTACCAAAACGTGACTTGGCATCGACAGGACACAGCTCCCCTTACCGAGGGAGTTCAGGTTCCGGGCGTGCCTTGGCCCCATCAGCTTTCCGGGCTGGCTTGGTCACCGACCCCGGACTGCAGCCAAGCTGACCGAGGGCGGCGGGAAAGTGACGCGGGGCTGGTGGGGCGGGGTGGCGAGTGCGGCTCCCGGAGAGGAGGGAGCACCTGGGGAGCCTAGAGCGGCCGCAGCAGCAGGGTCGCAGGCAGGGCGAGGCTGGGGGCGCGCTCGGGGCCCCGCCGAGGCTGCCTGCCTGCCTCCAGGGCGCGCGGAGGGCGCGGAGCTGGACCTGGGCGGTGTCGGCGCGCTCTGGGGCTGGCTGTCCCGCTCCTCTCCGCCCCCGGGAGGGACAGAGGGAAGGCAGACGGCCGGGCCCGCCCCCAGCCCCTGTCCCAGCCGCGCGCGGCGGCAGCGGCTGCTGGAGGGAGACTAGGGGCACCTCCCCGGAGCTGAGAAACCAGTTTGGCCGGTTCCGCCGAGCGGAGAGAAAAGGGCGGCCGCAGAGGAAGGGCGCACGGACGCGGGGCGGAGGAGGGCGGGGAGCCATTGGCGAGCCGCGAGAGCCGGAGGAGCCGCCGCCAACTGGACACGCTTCCCGGGGCCCCCGGCCAGCCCCTGTGCGCCATGAAGCGCTAGCGCAGCGGCCAGGGCTCGGGCCGGGCGGGCGGCGGCGGCCAGGTGCGCAGCGAGCGCTCGGAGAGGCGCTCACCTGGCGGATGCCCCAGCCGGGGCCCAGCGGGCGCCAGGTAAGGAGGGGCGCGGCGCCGGGGTCCCCCGATGTCCCCAACCCTGCGGGCCCCCTGGCCGCCCTGGGCCGGCGCACTCCGGGGATCGGGGATGCGGTGGCAGCTGCTGTCGGCGCCCTCGGGTTCCCGATCCCGCACGGGTGGGATTTGGGTGAGGGTGCTGGGAGCCCCCGCAGCCTCGGGGACGCCGAGGCACGGCTAGCCGGGTGGGCAGCGCTGTCGAGAGGTCCATGGGGTTCTCTCCTGCCTGGAGAAGAGAACTCGCGGGAGGCGTTTGGGTTCCTCGCTCGTTTGCAACACACATGTCGGGGTTCAGCTCCGAGGGTCAAGCCAGGCAGGGCTGGAGGCTTCTTGGGGAGTGCCGCCGGCTTCCCTGCGGTGGCCACCGCCCCCACCCCGTACCTCCGGGAGTCCCCAGTGGTCCCATTCCGCTGGGGTGCTCTGTAAGCCAGTGTGTGCGAAAAACGCATGGAGACTGAACGTATCTGGCCGCGGCAGCACCTGCATAGAGGGATGGAGGGGGTGAGATCCGTCACTGCTCGCGCTGCAGCGCGGGTACCCCAGTCCCCGGACATCATCTGTGCGCTTTAACGAGGGATGAGGGGCGGTGATGGGGAAGAGGGACACTTTTTCCGGTGACTTGCGGGGTCGCGTCTGCCAGCTCCATGGCACTGCCACAGGCCATCTGCGTTCCTCACCAGTTTGATGCCCAGTACGGTCACCTCTCTGCGTGCAAGCGGAGGGGCAATTTGTTGCGGGAGTGAGGGGTGGGGAGATGTTGCAGGGAGTGGTGAGTGCTTTAACTGCTGATGTCTTTAACTCTCCTCCCCAAAGTGAAAGAAAAGTCTTGCAGTGTCCGCGAAAGTTCTCCAAGGGAGGTGTGGTCCCGGCCGGGCGGCTCCAACCGCAGATCCGTGACAGCTGTAGGGGGGAGGACGAGGGTGCAGGGAGGGTGCAAAACGGGGGAGGGGAGCTGACACTCAAAAGTAAAGGGGACCCGGGTCGCATTTTCGCCCAGTGAGTCCCCCCTCAAGCCCACCCGACCCCCTCGGCCTGCACGCGCCGCCCCAGGCGGGCTCCCAGCCTTCTCCGGTAGCTCTAGCTCGGACTCTGCAGAGTTCCCCTCCCGGAAACTGGCCGCCCTTTGGCTGAGAGAAGATTCGCTCCCATCTTCCTGGTTGCGTGGCCTTCAGAATTCTGCCCCCACCCCTGGGAAATTAAACAAAGCAACACTAGTGAAATATTTGGAGACCACTGGGCGCGTGGTAGGTTATTGGCGAAGGTTAACTGCTTTTAGGATCAAAAGCTAAAAAGTGATGTGTGATAAAGTCCCCAGGGATGGCGAATACAGGCGCACATAAAAAGGGGAGACAACACAAAATATGAAATAGAAGCTCTACTTTTTTCATCGTCTAAGGAGTACGTTTGTGTTAGGCCTAAGATAGCATTCATTAACTCTGGGCCTATTGTTGAAGGCCTTATTAAACCCTGTTATAAATGCATACACTGTGCAAAAGATGATTAATGGCTATTAGCTGATTACCTTCTGGGGGAGAAGTCATGCTTGCCTGCAATTACTCCTCTGAATTCTCTTGATGATTTTCATTATGTAGTGGAGGTTTCCTTGTTCTAATTTTGGGTAAGAAGCTTTAACCATTTTGTTCATTTGTCATTTTCTAGTGGTTGTAATTTGGTAATTTTTAGTGATTCCTTGTGTTGGTTATTAAGGGGCATAAAAGACTCATGTGTCTTAAGACTGGGCAACACAAATGCCACCTGTGTGAGCCCAGCTCTGGCTACTTCCAGGCTTTCCTTTGGATTTAAGGAAAATACACGGCTGCCCGCACTTGTTGCTACTTAGTGATAGGGCTGGGAGAGGTTTTGTGAGTTTGTTTGTTTGTTTTTTAATGGAGACTTTAAAATAATGATTTGGCAAAGCAAATGGCTTAACAAAAAAGTCTTCAGGTAGAGGGCAAGTTCAGGACTGGTCCCATGTTTAGCCTGGTGTTCCGTCTCCGGGATCTTAGCACGGATGGAGGCACTGTCAGATTTGGCCGTAGAACGGTTTCTTCCCTTTCTTCCTTTCATCCTCTCATCTATTTTTCCCTCTTTCTTTCTCTTCCTTTTAAAGCAAGCAGTACTGGAAAACATATGGATTTAGATGCCTACAAATGTCAGTTCTTTTACTAATTTTGTAGTCTTACATGAATTTTAAAATTTTCTGAACCTCAGTTTGTTTATGTGTGTGGGGCTAGGGGGAGATATTATCAGCTTCTTTGGATTTTTGAGAAAATTAAATGAGAGAACATGTGAATGTCCCTTATATATAATAGGTGTTTGTTGTTTTCTTATTTTCTTTATTAGGCTGACATTTTAAAATAAAAGTATGATGTCCAGGTATATGGTGTATTTTTAATATTTTATTGCCTTACAAGTTTCATTTTAGTTTTTCATAAGCGACATTCATGGAATGCAGGTGGTCCTTATAACTCATTGTGGAGAGATTTGCATTTGCTAGTTACCTTTGCTCTTTAGTTTCAGTCATTGTAAAAGAGGCCTATGCACTTATGAATGCAGGGAAACTTGCTCTTTAGGTACTAGAACAAGTTTTATTGGGCCCACTGTTGTCCCGTGCCTTTAATGTTTCTTAAGCACCTAATTTTAGAATTTGTATACTTGCTTCTACATTAGTCTCCTGGGAATTTTTCTTTGTAGTGTCTTTAGATATTTAAAGTGAGTTTTCAGGTCTGTTTGTAGCATCATTCAGTTAGATTGATTGTATTCATACCTGTAGGTCTTTTATTACTTACTGAGTAAAAATTAATTTGCTGCCAGAAGCATTTTTTTTGTTGTTATGTTTTGTTATTTGAGACAGAGTCTCACTCTGTTGCATTGGCTGGAGTACAGTGGCATCATAACTGCTCACTGCAACCTCCAACTCCTGGGCTCAAGTGATCGTCTTGCCTCAGCCTCCCAAGTAGCTGGGACCACAGGCATTGACCACCACACCTGGCTAATTTTTCTAATTTTTGTAGAGCTGGGGCTCTTGCTCAGGCTGGTCTCAAACTCCTGGGCTCAAACAATCCTCCCACCTCGCCGTCCCAAAGTGCTAGGATTCTAGGCGTGAGCCACCATGCCCAGCCCAGAAGAGTGTTAATAACAAAAAGACAGCTTATTTTCTTCATTCTGTTACCCAAGTTATTCCTGAGTCCTCATCCTGGTGCCCAGCTAAAAATAATACCCAAATATAAAATCTTTTGAACTCTTTTGTCACTGAAGACCTGATATTATCGACGAGACTCCAGAAAGCATATATCTGTGTGTGTGTGTATATGTATATATCTCAGTCTTGTTTCTCATTTTTACTCTTAGAAAACAAAGAACTTTTTATCATCTAAATCCTTGGGACAGATTAGTCCTTTTCCTGATACTTCTAAACACATTGCACTTTTAAATAAATTGTCCCCCAAACCATCCACAATGGGAGCTACGTTTGGTAACTGATCCCTGTGAGCAGAGTCCAGAGGCAGCAGGAAAGTAGAGGTTGCTAGCCTTCGGAGTCCTTTGACCCGGGGGGATGCAGGCCTTGCTGCTTCCTCGCTGTATAACCTCGGGCAAGTTATAAATCTTTCTAGGCTTCAGTTTCCTCATCTGTAAGTGGGATAACCATAGCACTAACTCACAAGGTTGTGTGATGAGTTCCAAATGAGATCTTTCAAGCAGAGGGCTTAGCGGGAGCTAAGGTAGTCATTAATACTGTTGTTGCTGTCGCTCAGTAAATATTCACTCATGCAGCCATTGCCTTCCTCCTGGGCTATATGGAAATGGAAATCCCCCTACACGTTGGTATTTACTTAGCAAACGTTGCCCGGTTGCACCAGCACCTGGCTCCCCAGAGTAGGGATGATGTTCTAAACCTCCAAATCCACACTGTTGTTATGGAGCGCAGGTGGCTGAGAGGACCAGGGTGCTAGGTGATCTCTTACCTCGCTGTTGCCTCACCTGGGTGCTACCCCTTCCTGAGCAGCGGGAGCCCGTGGACACGCTGAACACTCCTGTGCCTCCTTCACCCCTCAGTTCAGTCGGTCTCTCCTCATCCTCCGTACTCCTGTTTTGTATTTAATTACTATTCTGTTCAACACTCGGGAGCTTCTGAACCTGTGGGCCTTTCGGAAGGATCTCGGTGTGGTTTTCTTAGTTGTGGAGCCTGAGAAGATACTACTTCCGACAGAACCTTGATGCAGCCTATTCATTTATTCATCTTCAAGCCATGCTGGGGGGTGGGGGGTGGCGGGTTATTTCTCTGCTTCGCAGAAGCCTACGAGATTCACAGAGGACCCGAGTTGGGTTTGTTCTTCCTTGGTAAGAAAATAGATTAGGCTTTTTCTCTCTTCCTGCGGTGGACATCGGCCCCCTCTGCATGGAGGGATGGTTACCTTAGGCCCCGGAGGACAGCCCAGGCCTCTTTCAGCATTGCAGGAAGGTCTGTGTTCATTTTCAGTCTCTAAGTCTGGTGGATTTGCACTTAATGGGTGAGAGATGGGAAGCAGTGGAGGGGCTCTCAGTCGGGCACCCTGGGGAGAGGGTCACCCCTGTTCCAGGGCACCCTTCAGTGGTGAGGGCCACCCCCAGCATGACGGAGAAGCTGGGTGCTTCCGCATTGTGTGCCTGTGCAGCCTGACCTTTGGCTAGTTGCTTCGGTCTTTATTTACAGGGCTGTCATTTATGGCTTTGTTTCTTTGCTGAGTGGCTTTTGTTCCACCAGAGTTGGGGTTTGTTTGATTTAGGGCAGGTGGTGTTTGAAATTAGTTTTCTAGCCTTTACTTGAGCTAGTAAATCCTCGTTGGAACCCCTCTGGTACCAAACACTGCCCTCACATGGTATCCAAACATACACGCTTGCTGTTTAGAGAAGTTTCTGTGAGTTGGATGCACTATTTATTTTATAAAGTATAGTGTGACTTGTACACAAATCTTTAATTTATCTTCTTGGAACTCAGT